TGCACCTGCTGCAGGTCCTAATGGAACCACACTTTGAGAAGAAGTAGAGGGATGGAGAGGAGCGAGGACAGTTTGGTTAGCAGCATTGGAGGAAGGAGGTAGAGGGAGAGGATTAGGAGTCTGGTCCTTCTGCAGATTTGCTATTTGCCGCATTAGATCCTTGTGCACTTTGGTCATTTCGGCCACTTCTGCCCGCAACTCACTTACCTCTGCCGAGAGTTTGGTGATCTGCTCAGGGATGTCATTGAGTAGGTGACAGTCTATAAGACCACGTACATATGCGACTATCTCCTTCCCGACCTCAGTGTCAGGCAAGGAGGAGACTGTTTTGAGGACAGCCTCATGGTCTGCAACAACGGTTTTCCGCTTTTCCTCTTTGGCTTTCTCTTCCCTTGCCAGTGCCTTCTCGTAGAGAGTTTGGAACAATGGTTTATCCTCCTCTACGGCTGCATCCAGTTGGGCCTTTAAGGCCACAAAAACTTTTACATCGCCCATTTTCTCAAGTCCCTCAAGGTGGGGCTTTCACTCTCTCTTCTCTCTCTCTCTCTTCCTATTGTATGCGAGTCTCTACGGGCATCAAAATATGAACTTGAGAAAAGAAACAAACTGAAAAGTTCAAAGAAGAGAAGGTAGACTCCTAGCCGGAGAAGCATTACATTTGGACTAGGGAGCAACAGACCACAAAAAGAAAAAGAAATTCACAGGAGAGGTCTGATCCAGCGACTCAGTCTCATCAGACTGCATACAAGGTCTTCTCGAGTCCAGGCTGACCAGCTCGGCAGTGGGTGTATAGGGTGCAAGTCAAGCCATGGATCTCAGTCAGGGTGCAAGTCAAGCCATGGATCCCAGTCAGACAATGAGTGACTAAATGCAACAATGAAGAATTGAGTGGTGTATAGGGTGCAAGTCAAGCCATGGACGGTGCGATCAAAAGTATGTGAAACGTCTCAGCCAAGATCCCCTCGGAAGTGGGTGTCCTAACCAACAAGAATAAACTCCGGATCTCAGTCAGGAAGAGAATGGACTAATGTCTAACAGATTCGTTTGGGCTCGGTCCCACTGGGTCCCGAGGGGTCCCATGTAGGTCGTGATCGAGCCCCAACCAAGAGGAGTCCCACTTGGACTAAGTTTCTGCCTCTACCATCCTGAAAACGAATTTCAACTTCCGGCAGAACCTACAGACTACAGTCGTTCAAAGATGAAAAGACAGCACTGTAGAAGGAATCGGCATTCAAATCAAGATACTTCGTTTCTCCATCCATCAGGTGAGTAGGTAGTTCATACACATTCAATCACACAATCAAGACCACAGAGGAGTAGGAAAGAAACCCAGAATAACCCCAACAGGACAATCAATACCATGCACACATACATGGGCATCCCATAGGTGCACGACACTTACCTGAGTGGCCCGGGCTTCGAAATGAATAGAACTCAGCAGCAGGGTTCGGGCAGCAAAGTCAACTCTCACCAGCAGGGTTAGGGCAGCAAAGTCAACTCTCACCAGCAAGTAGAATCCGCTCTGATACCAATGTTATGATCCTGGCCAATTTCGAGATACACATTCATCAGATAGTACAATGCCGTCCAATTGCAGAAAGAAATGAATGAACATGAGAGGAGAGAGAAGGTTAGAAGAAGAAGAAGAAGTAAGGAAGAAGAAGAAGATGATGTACACCAGAATAGACAAATGATAAATCTCTTCTTCTTCGCTCAACCCTCTCTTCCTCCTTATCTCCTCCTCTCTTATTCACACAAGAAATAATAATGCAATGTTGAATAGCTGAACCATAATCAAAGTCCGAATCCCTCTTCTACGGCAGGTATCACTTGAGGTCCACCATAGCCATGACCGCCTCCCTCACTCTTCACTCTCATAGGCTGAGGTTATGGCGGAGTACTTGGGCCTTGCCCTGCTGTGCAAAGGACAACGCAAGGCAGCTACGACTGCTCTAGCTCAGGACGCCATGCCTGACTCTGCCTCGAAGCTTCTTGGTGTAGCTCTCCCCAGCTGGGGCCTCCCTGCTGCAGCGCCCACCAAGGTG